GTGGGGGCCAAGGGTGAGGGAGGGAGGGATGGATAGAGAGATGGTTGGGGCCAGGAGCAATGGGGGGATGGATAGGAAGGTGATGGGGGCCAGGAGCAATGAGGGGATGGATAGGGAGGTGGTGGAGGCCAGGAGCAATGGGGGGATGGATAGGAAGGTGGTGGGGGCCAGGAGCGATGAGAGGATGGATAGGGAGGTGGTGGGGGCCAGGAGCGATTGGGGGATGGATAGGAAGGTGATGGGGGCCAGGAGCGATGAGAGGATGGATAGGGAGGTGGTGGGGGCCAGGAGCGATGGGGGGATGGATAGGGAGGTGATGGGGGACAGGGGTGATGAGGGGATGAGTGTGGGGCCAGGGAGGCAGCGGGGGCCAGGAGCGATGAGGGGATGGGTGTGGGGCCAGGGAGGCAGCAGGATGATGGAGGGGACAGGGTGGGATACCCAGGCGCCACAATACAAATTGGCCGAGGGCCTCGTTTCCCCTAAGGCCGCCCCTGTGCGTCGAGCTGGAATGGAACGCAAAGGCCTAGCTGGAATTCAGCCAAGACACCTGAGACGATCGCAACGCTCTCCCTGGTCGATCCGCACACAGGCCCAGGCCCAGGCCCTGTCCCCCAGGCAGCCTCGGGCTCTGGTTGTGAAATCCCAGACAGTTAGGAAAGAAAAGGAGGGCAGGGAGCCATGGCCTGAGGGAGCTCCCTGACCAGTCCTACCTCCTAACACCTCCCCAAAGGCAGCAAGCTCCAGGTGACCCCCAGATTTCAAGGGGGTTGCTTGGCTTTCAGTCTCCATTCACTGCACTGAGGTCCAGCCAGCTAAGGCCTGATAGACTTATTTTCCGCAAAGCGCCCTGTTGTTGTCACCCCCGGCTCAGCCGCACCCTGGGTAGCTCGGGCAGGAACGCCAATGCGCACAAGCCATGAGCATCTGCCAGTGTTTTAAACACCGCGGTGTCCCGACGGGCTGTAGCCAGGGGCTAGGCACTGCTCGCTGAGCCAGTGCTGGTTGTGGAGGTTGCGTGTCCTTCTCCAACACACCCTCCAGTTCTAGGGTTACCATACGTCCGGATTTTCCCGGACATGTCCGGCTTTTGGGGGCTCAAATCCCCGTCCGGGGGGAAATCCCCAAAAGCCGGGCATGTCCGGGAAAATCGGGAGGGAGGAAGGGCTCGGCCGGGGCCTCTTTGGCCGCGGCCGGTGCGGGGCCGGGGTCGCGGGGCCGGGGGC